CGGATGTGATCACCTCCAAGGCCTGGCTGAGACAGGTGATTGGCTTAAGGTCAGTCATCTCCATCCTGGTGGAGCCAGGACTCCCCTCAGATTGGAAAACAGCCCTTTGCAGGCAGATATTGGGATGTGTGTGGGTCGTGGAGTCAGCCCGGTCTGGACACAGTTCTTTCTCTCTTCTCCCTGGTCCTGTGATCTTGGGAACGTGGCTTGTCTCTGTGTTTGCAGTACTACTCCCCCAAACCACAGGGATGAGGACATCTCTCAGGCCCTGGATTCTAGGGGGCAGGCTTGAGCCTGCTAGTAAAATGCCTGATACACAGCAGGCTGCTCCTGACCAGGGCTAAAAGCCTGGCTTTGTTCTACCTGGCAGTGGAACCTGGGCCAGCTGTTTGAAGACTTGAACCTCAGTTTCCTTGTCTGTGAGATGAAGGTCTAACCACACTGGCCTTGCCGGGTCATGTCAAGTCTTGGGCTTGGAGTATAACGCGTGTCAGTGAACCCCTGGCCCTGCCTCCCGGAGGGCCTGGGGACAGACAGGCTCCGGGCCAGGGCTCCTGGGACACCCTGAGCCCCTGGCTGCCTGGAAGATTTCCTGGGGGAAAGCCTCAGGGTTTCTGTGCAGCCGTAAAGGGTCCTGGGCAGGACATACCTGAGGGCTCAGTCAGAAGCGAAGCGCTTGGCATCTTCCCAGAAAGCGGTGGAGGGAGTTCAACGGCGATGTGATTTGCCCAGAAGGATGGTGTTGCAAATTAAAATTTTTTTTTTTTTTTTTTTTTTTTTTTTGCGGTACGCAGGCCTCTCACTGTTGCGGCCTCTCCCGTTGCGGAGTACGCGCTCCGGACGCGCAGGCTCAGCGGTCACGGCTCACGGGCCCAGCTGCTCCGCGGCATGTGGGATCTTCCCGGACCGGGGCACAAACCCGTGTCCCCTGCATCGGCAGGCGGACTCTCAACCACTGCGCCGCCAGGGAAGCCCAGCAAACTACTTCAATTAATGGAAGCTCGGGCAGGGAAAACTGTCTCCGTCTGACGGTTCCAGCAACAGCTCTGCCATTGCCAGCAGCCTTCAGCCCCTCTCTGAGCCTCCACTTCTCATCTATTACACTGGGATGATGATAACAGCTGCCCCTTGCTGCAGTACTGTGAGCTCCTCCTTTCCACAGCTGTTCACTGCACACCTGCAGTGTGTGGGGACACTGCAGTGACCAGAGCAAAGTCACAGCCCCCATGCAGCTTGATTACAGTGAGTCCACAGAATCACGAGCTTCAAGGGATTAGCACATAGTAGGTGCTCTAACAATGGCACTTGCTGTTTTGCTCCTGGAGCCGCCTAACTGGTGTGAATTCATCCTTTGATACTCAAGAGGGGTGGCTGCTTAGATACAGCAGGTGAGCTTCCGCCCTCCCTCGAGGTTTCCTTCTTTGTAAACTGCAATGTCAGGGCCTGACCCTGAGGGAGGCTCCCACCTCCCTCCAAGCTCAAGGGCAATTACTTACTGCCCTAAAGCACCACCTCCAGCCGGCCTGAGGCTGGGCCAGAAAGAGCTCAGCCCCTGCCTCGGAGACGCAGGTGGGGTTTCCGCCGCTGGCAGTGATGGGGTCCCAGGGGGGCAGTGTCAGGGAGAGCCTCCCCTCCCTGTTTCAGAAGTAGGCCTTGAGGGGTAGGGACGAGTCAGGTGGAGAAGGCAGGGAAGGGCATTCCAAGCTGAGGGAACAGCCTTTGCAAAGAAAGGTTCAGGGGGGAGAGCTGGGGTTGGGAGTGGCTGGACTGGGGAGAGCCTGGGGAGGTTCTCTGCTGAGTGAGCCTTGGCAGCGTTTGAGCTTGGCCAGCCGTGTTCTGGAAGGCGCTCTGGCTGCTGTGGAGGAACTGGGGGCAGGAAGCACGGGGAGGGGGAGGGGGAGCAGACGAGGTCCCGGAAGTGCCCAGGGCTTTGTAGAGTGACCAGCTCACGTCCAGCCGCCATGCCAGGGCTGGCCACCAGAGGGCACTGTGGGCGCAAGCTGAGGGGGCCCTTGCGGAGTCAGGGCCGTGTGTGTGTGTGTGTGTGTGTGTGTGTGTGTGTGTGTGTGTGTGGTTTGTGGTATCTGTGCACGTGCCTGAGCCTGCGTGGCCGCTCCGCGGTTAGGTCCATGCTTGTGCACCCCGCCGTGCTCACAAGCGTGTGCATGTGTCTGGGGTGTGTGAACTTGGGTGTGAGCTGGGGGGGGTGAGCACGTGCAGGGGTGCATAGAGGTGAGAGCAGGGCCCTCATCCCTCGCTGCTCCCGCCTGTTCCTCCCCCACCAGCCGTCCACCTCAAGGCCTTTGCACACGCTGTTTCCTCCCCCTGCAGTGTTCTCCCACACCCTCATGACACCTCCCTCACCTGCTCAGATCTTTGTTTACATGTCACCTGCCAGTGAGGCTTGTCCTCCCTCTTTAAAACTACAGCCCCACCCTAAGACGCATGCCAGTCCCCTTCCCTCCTTTCCCAGTAGCAGATCCTCCGGCGACTATAATTTAATCTGGGCATTTCGCTTGTGTGTTTCGTCCACCAGTCACGTCCCCGAGGGCAGGGCCTTGTCTGTCTCTTCAACGTCGTGCCCTCAGCGCCAGGCACACAGTCAGTGCTCACTACGGAGCTGTTGAGTGAATGAAGGGATGAGCTCCTGCCATCCCGGGCGCAGACATCCTCTCTCCAGACCTTGGTAAACCCAGGCCCCGCCCACCTCAGCTCACACCCAGATCCTGATCTGACCACACCCCTTTCCCTGAGTCCACGCAGAAGGGTGTTGGGGACCTGTCTTCTAGGAGTCAGGGCAAGAAGCAGCCTGTTACAGGGACCCTGTCCAATATCCCTTCTGGTTTCTGAGTGGTCATGGAGCTGCAACCAGCGAGGAAGGGACGAGGGAGCCCTGCCTCCCCGCCGGGCCCTCACACGGGGCCCCTTGCACAGCACCAACCCTCTACAGGGAGACTGTTTCTCCCTTCTCTGCCTGACGAGCTCACAAGCTCCTACTGGTCCTTAAAGGTCCAGTCTCAAAGTTACCTCCTCTGAGGAGCCTTCCCGATCTCAGCCAGGTGGAGCCTGGCACTGTCCTGGGTCTCTTGCTCATGCATCTATTTATAGCAGCCCACATGGAGTTTTGTGATTCTTGGGCTGTCTGTCAGGCTCCCTGACTAACCGTCACCTCCTCCAACAGCAGGGCCCCGTCTGAGTCATAGGATCAGGCCAGCATGGGACTAGAGTTGCTTCCAATGTCTGTGGCATGCTTTCTGTCTGTCCTTTGCTCATTCCTCAAACATTTTTCCTGGCCTACTATGTGCCAGGCCCTGGGCTGTGCATCAGGAGTGCCCCGCAGGGAGTGAGTTGGCCAGATTCCTGCCCAGGAGGCACTGACGGTCCAGATTAAGAGTCAGATTAAAAGCAGAGGAAATAGGAGAGGCATTGGTGACATGAATGCTGTGCAGAGAATTACAACTGATTTGGGTGTATGGCCGGAAAGCCTCTTAGGGGAGTTCATTTAAGAGGAGGCCTGCAGGATGAAAGGGACCAGCCCCAGCAGTCACGGTGGGAGGGTGGGGGAGAAAGGTGTTTCAGGCAGAGGGGACAGCAGAGGCACAGGCCGTGAGGCAGGACCGGTATTGGCGTGTACAAGGGGCAGCACTGAGAACCCTTGCATATGGCACGGAGCGGAGGGGGTGACGGGGAGCACGGGGGGAGCAGGAGTCTGAGTGGTTGGCAGGGGCCTGAACCCAGAAAACCCACCAGACCAGGCCTGCAGTCCCACTAGAAGTATGTGCTGCTGGGGCCCATTTTGCAGATAGATAAGCAGCAGGACCCATTAGGGACCGAGTGCCCTGGGCCACTGCAGACACCCAGGTGTGGTGAGGCCGGGTCAGCTTCCTGTAGGAATTTTAGAAACATTTGCTGGGCACCTAGTGAGCACCAGGACCTAAGCCAGGAATTTCCAAGCTTGCACTTGTGAACCGACTTCGGAGAGGCCGCCCTGTCCCCGTGGCACAGATACGTCAACAGGCACGGAGTGGCTCAGGACGTCTCTGAGTGGCAGGGTTGGCATTTGAACCTGTAACCTGATGAGTTCATAGCTCATGCCTTTCCTCCCACTGCCTGGGGACGCAGGAGGAAATAATGACAATTAGCAGGCCTCCCCTTATCTCATCTGGCCCTCCCCATCACTGTGTGGGTAGGCCCTGCTGTCACCCCATCTTACAAGCGGGAGGGCATCTTACAAGCAGGTGGTGGAATCTGCTTCCCTCATGTGAGGCTCCTGGCAGGTCACACACTCACGCCCGCGTGAAGCGAGGGACTGACCCCGTGACCTTTGCCAGGTTGTCCATCCTAGTGACCTGGTCCCACTGCCAGATTGGTCAGTGGCTCCCGAAATCCTCCAAGGCTCCACGTGGGAGCAGAAGGGAGGGCTGGCCCGTCCGGACTGAATAGTCAACAAACACCTCCTGAGTGTCCGCGGTAGCCCAGGTCCCTTTCCACCAGCTGCGACCGGAGGCGCGGACGCGAAAACAAGCTCCGGGGTGACCTGAGCTGCCCAGGTCAGCCCCGCCAGGAAGTAGTCGAAGCGGGATCTGACCCTGGCCCCACCCGGGGGGCGCACTTTGACCCCCGCAGCACCCGCTTCCCGCTCCCCGGGGCCGCAGCTGGGCGGGCCAGGGGTACCCAGGGTTTCTGCGCACAGGAGCCAGAGCGCGCGAGGCGGGGCCCGGGAGTGGGCGGGGCTTGCGTCCGGACAGGCAGCGGGAGGGACCCGCCGGGGCCT